AATAATTAAAACATTTCTACAACAGCAGCAAAATGTGGGCACATCGCACATGAGAACACATACAACACTACACTACAATAACTCATATCCATACTTAAAGCTAAAGTAAATATTGCTATACAGTTTGTTACTGTGTCAATCCTACATAGTGAGACTAGCACAAAGAAACATATGTTGTTCACCAGCGTACCTATAAACAATAGGCAACAACAAACTCATCATTGGCAAATCATATATGAAGCACATCTTCAGGGAGATTTGATTCCTACAAATGAAGAGGACAAACATCAGTCATAACTACACATGCCTCACAGATTGCCTGTTTTCAACTTAGATGAACTACCTCTTTTCTCATGGAGCATGTTCGCCGATTGTGACCCTTATCCTTACACAGGCTACATTTGACCTTAGATTTTTTCGTATTTGAAATTGACTTCAAATTTTTCTTCGGAGCCCCTCTTCTAGGCACATGCAAGGGATCTAGCACATTACTGAACGCTATAGAATCAAAATCCAGGGCTTGTGGCAGCACCAGACCATACCTCTTGCCTCTGTTATCTTCTTCATTTGGCAGATTCATAGCAACTTCATCCTGCAGAATGTGTTTCAGCCGCTCATATGATTCAAGTGAACGAGATGCTGCGAAGGCTGCAGCTTGACCGATATTGCGTAGCTCACGGTACCTCTGTAGGCTTTCGGAATAGTCATACATGGTGCTCTTCCTTTTCGAAGGAAATGCACTCTTCGCCCCCATTGTCCACCTTTTCAAAACACAACAGTCTGGAAGCTTGTCTTCATCCAGATCGCCCAATACAAAGAAGATGTGTGAGCAGGGGGTTCCAATCGATTGTAACTTACCACAAGAACAAGAAATTCCCTTCAGATTGCCTTCATCACAAAATAGACATTTGACATAGTACATCATGTCTCCTTTATCCTTCCTGCCAACAATATACTCACTCATATTATCGCCATCTAGAATGTCAATCGAAAAACACTTCTTGGCCGCCTTTATGCTGAACTGCATCGTGGTGAAAACTGTTGGAGTGAACGATTTCACGGCTTCTATCTCAATAATTGAAGCATCTAGTTCTATGCATGCCTCAGATTGCAATGCATCAGTGTCCAACTTTGCCTCATTTGTGCGCAGCCCTAAAAGGCAGTGCTCCACGTGCTTTACCATGTCAAGCAGTGTCATTTTACGATCTAGACGCATATGAAGCCTAGAGTTTAGACTCTCACTCCGTTGGTTGCTCCTCAGTCCTAAGTAGCACTTACCAGCATGATACGAAGCACACCAGATTTCCCTCATATCATACATCTGATACAACCATGACTCCTTATTTCTAACCTTATGCTTATCCAAAAATTCCTGCCATTTTCTCTCGGTCTCTTCTATGGACCAACAATCATAAAGGAAACTCCTAAATTCATCCTTGACAACATCATCTTTAAGATTACGCACAATGTTCTGCTCAATATGCCATATATAGAGCCTATGCGATGAATTCGGCCACACAAGCCTGATTGCTCTCTGCGTAGCAAGGTCTCCATCAGTGATCACGGAGATCGAATGCTTCTGAATCATGGCCTCGGAAAATGTACTCAGCAGCCACACATATGACTCAATATTCTCATGAGAAATAATTCCACATCCAAAAATAACTGTGCTTCGATGGTGATTCACCCCAACAAAAGGAACAAGGGGTAGGTTGTACCGATTAGTTTTGTAGGTGCTATCAAATACAACGACATCACCAAATGCTTCATAATCAAGCAGACATTGACTATCACACCAGAATAGTCCCTTCAGGTGTCCTTCCCCATCAACCATGTACTTGAAAAAGAAATCAGGATCTCTGCGCTGAAGTTCCGTCAGGTAACTGATGACTGTTTGAGCGTCACCGGCAGCAATTGTCTCCGCCTTATAGCGATGGCAGAAATTATACAAGTCCCTTGTTGTACACCCAACCTTATCATACCCACCATACTGTATTTTCAAAATATCCATTATTTTGTGTTTGCGGATCCCAGAACTCTCCATCTCCACAATCTCAGCTTTCTGCTCATCGCTGATTCTTCTATATGAACGTAGCAGACAAGTAAGCTCTGCTGGCGCCATCGGATGGTTGTGTTCATCGATGAAATCCTTCACATACCAGTGCCCTGTGATCTGATCTCGTGCAATCACAAATTTAGCAAGGCATCCAACACGGGTAATATTCCGCGGCTTCCGCTTCTTAATCGCCTTCTTCAGCTGCTTCTCTTCACGAAAACCTTGACGACTGCAAACGAACTTCCGAAGAGTCATCTCATTGTGGCCATTGTCTCACTCACAATAGCTTCTCCTCACACTAAATCATTTCTCAAAACCGTAGTTGTTATAGAACTGAAATCTTTCTTCTTCATTAGCAAACAACTTCTTGACAATTTCATTGTACTCCAGCAAAGACTCAAGATATGACATTTCCTCCTGTATAGATGCTTGTATATTATGCTACGGGGAACAGTAAATTCCAACAAGAACCAAACAATTGGTACAAGAAGACATCTCCCAAAAAAAGTAAAATCACTTCTGAAAATAAAATCACAGCAACAATAGGCAATACGATGAGATCGAGTATTTTGTTAGCCTGTGAGTTATTAGATAAAAGACGTGTATATTAGTGGGATAGAGTATAACAAATACAAAGATAAAATCAGCTGAGGAAAGCCTTTTCTATGCAAAAAGGAAAATACTTGCAAAGGCCATAGATAATTAATATTTTTAAACATCTCTATAATATGGCTGCCATCTTGCAAACCATGTCAATGCAGAAACAACAGTGCGGCCATGGAAAGTGGTGACAATCTAAGATAGCATGATTATAGTACAGAGAATAATGTGAAAGCTCTTTGAGCCGTTAAAGTTCATGGTCTCTCTGATTTGGCATGTGCAAAGACAAAGATCGAGCAATATGAACTGATTGATTTGTAGGCATAGGGCGGAAAAAAAAAGCAGTGAACTTGTATTAACACTCAAAGATTTTAAGAGGGCATGGTCCCTATGATTTGGAATGTGCAGAACAGCAGCAAGCAATGTAAACTGGTTGATTCATATAGGCATAGGGCGGAGAAAAACAGTAAACTTGTATTACAACTCGGCATCTTAAGTTATCGAAATAAATAAATATTAGGTAGTAACCATAGCAGATAAGTGTTCGTAACAACATAAACACTAATAATTGAGAGAGAGCCAGAGGGGTTTAATTGGAACTCACCAGCTACGACTTGTGCGCGGCTGCAGTCCTACAGATTGAAGAAGAATTGTGCATGCTGCAGTCCTGCGGATTGCGGAAGTGCAGCGTATCAACGCATAAAAATAATTAAAGCTAATAATTTGCATAGCAACTAAGAGGAACCAAGAAGTACCCCCAACCACTGTAAAAGAGCTCTTGTACTAAACATGACCTAGTCATAGTAATCTAATCTACTAGTACACCGAAAGGGAGTTATTAACTTGAGTTTTCTCCTTTGCTTACACACATGTAGAGCTATTTAAACTTTACATTATCGATATTTGATGGTCACTAATAAACGAAAATACTGGGAATCTATTGGTTATAGGATTTTTTGGCCAAACCATGTGGCATAAAAAACAACACAAAATAGTGTAGAAATGAGAGGATATAACACTTTCATAGCATAATTTTGTATACCCATTGGACTGAATAGGGCCACGTCCTTCCACGTTACAACAAAGTCACAAATATTATCACATTGTTTCAAATATTTGAACCAAAAAAAAACTAGACCATAGGAGAAGACTCCCCTATGGCTTTGAAATAAGAAGGTGCTAGGGCTTCAAACCCGGATCGAGAGTCTCGGAGCTCACTGCTTATTTCAACAGAATCTCAAATACTGCAGCAAACATGGTAATATTATATTATATTATAACCCTAGTGCATGGCGTGGGACGCATAACCGGAAGATGAGAGTGGGAGTCAAGAGCGCGGCGACTATGAAGGGAAGAGGTGAAAAATAGGAGAAAATTTTAAGGTTAGGAACTTAGGATGGCACCGGAAATTTAGCCACTCGATCATTTTGGGTCCATGGACACTTGTGGGTTGAAATTCTAGCAAGAAAAATTCGAATCCACAAGATTTCTAGACAATAAATGCTTTTTTTTAAGATAATAGAACAAAGTTTCAGCCTCACAGAGCGCTCAGAATACAAACCAAAGACATAAGGTCGGTTCACATAATCGTGAAAAAACAAAGATCAGCCCAACTATTCAGCGCAGCAAACAAGGAACAAAACTAAGTCTCGATTCGATTCATGAAACTCCATCCAAACTTCGCAATTATTGCCATTATTAAGGACTCCCAGATTCTACAGCCCTCCTCGAACAGTGGATGCTTTTTATCGGCCTAACTGATGATAATACTGAAATTTCGAAAATATCAACTTTTAATTTGTATTGGCCACCCATCAAGTGTTATTTACCGCACGCAGATCGTTTGCGCTGTGCGGTGGCCGGTGAGGCAGCGTGAGAGTCTGCGGGTGAAGCGTGAACGTCGTCCCTGCTCCGCGCCACCGCAGTCTGCAGCCACGTACCGGTGGCGAAGTCCCTCGCTCCGCCACCGCCAGACATCTGCCGAAGCCAAGTCCTGGCGCACGGCGGTGGAAGCAATGCAACACCATGGCGGGCCCCTGTCGCGCGCGCTGCGTCGCTCTCTATCTGTGGCTGCCGGCCGCGCACATTGTTTTCGGTGTTGCGAGTCGGCGGTGAAAGCGACGCGTACGAGAGAGCTTAAAACACAAGGAATTTAATTTGCGGTGTTGTTGTGGACACGGTCCCCGGCTGCATCTGCCTGCGACACCTGGGTGCTTAGCTTCCTCTGATCGATGGGCGCGAACTGCTCCGTGCTGAGGGGCGATGAGAGATGCGCCATGGCTTCGCTGAGGTCGTCGTCCGCCATCATGCCGTGGTGCTGGCGCCTAGGCGACAACGCGATCGCATGATGCACGCCGGCGCACCTCTCCACCGAGACGATGCAGTTGATCTCCGTCACGGCCGCCGCGTGAGTGGGCACTTGCCATGCTTAGATGCTCCCGGTTCCCCGTTTCTTGTTCTTGCTTAGTTCGGATTTCACCGCTTCGTGTTCTGGTACTATGAAGCCTCAAATCAAATGTGCAATGTTTGTTTTCTACAGAACATTGATGCTTGCTACAGGAACAACCATACGGAAACAATTACTTGTGCCTCTTTTTGCTCTACAAGCACCTTCTAGTGTCGTCTTATGGATGAGGTAAGGTGCCAGCATCTGGGAAAAAGGAACATATTTTACTTTTACTTTCTTTTTACCACTTTTGGAGAAAAAAAAGAACACATTATTGACACTTATAACTCGAGCTGTACTTAGCTTCTCACATCACCATCCACGTTTAGGGATGATTACGGTCGGTGGACTGCTTTTCTTGGTCTTCTTCTGCGTTTGCTGTACCTCATTCCAGGTAGAGTAACACGAAAGTTCATGTCAATTGTGTCCTTTCTGCTGAATAAGTGATTTATTTGGTTCAAGACAATTTGATAAGCCATCTTTGTCCTAACATTGCAATTTGCTTTCTTCAGCTGGCCCAGCGGTATTTAGAATTGACTGGTCTAAGTTCAATTTTGGTTAATTAATAGCTAAATAAATGTAGAAATCTTACATGTCTGTGCCTGCTTCTTGTACAACAGGTGAACTGGAACTTCCTTTATCAACAGTGCTGCTTGTTACAAGCGCTCCTTACCAATTTATTATGAACTTGAGGTACCAAACATTCTGCCTGTTTTAAAAGTATATAAAGGTGTTCGATAATATACTAAAGTTAGTGTCACTTCTTGCTAAAAGAAGAAGTTGTGATGTCTTGGACGCCTCTGTATTTTCCTGTGTTTTTATGCATTAGGCCGTCTCTTTCATCCATTGGCCATGGCCGCTACAATTGCTTTTAATGGACAAACTCTAGCCTACCAGTTCAATTGCATATCTAAATATCTACTAGTTTTTTTTTTCACGTATAGATCTTGTGTTATCTTTGAACTACAGGAAGTCTCAAGGTGCAGCAATACTGTCCGCGGCAATAGCGGGTTATCTCATGTTCCAACATTTCACCAGGGTGAGATGCTTCAGGAAGGCCTTTGACCATGAATCGATAATTGCCACGTCTAGCATCATCTGCATGACAGTTACCAGCCTTATGTTGGTGTTCTGATCCAGCTCAAGCTCAAGGCACATTGCAGCAGCTAACATGAAAAACTCAGTCTGCACTCTGCAGAGAACACTCTAAAATTTACAAACAAACAAACATTTCTTTTGTGATTAATCTACTGACTCGGGCATCTTGCCAGTGTTCGCTGAAAGTTTTGGTTGAGCTGCATCAGGTTTGATCGTATTGGATTGTCTGCGGAGAAGAAAGGATTGCCCTTAGCTATGTTCATCTGTTTCTTGTGTGATCAATTTGGAATAAAACATGACAAAAGTTTTGAGCGCTACAGAATCAATTGGACCTTTCTGCAATTTACACTGCGCATGATATGTGTCATATCCAGCTATTCATCCTTCCCGGGTACACGAAACCAGGATGGACATTCATTCAGTTATTCAGTCTTTTCAGATACCTGTAGTGAACATTTGATGATGACAGTTTTAAAACTGCACCTGCAAGTGAAAAGAAACCTCACTTAGCTCCTAGGGATATTGCATCGTATTTAATTTAGGTGATGAAGTCACCTTGATGTATTAACATTTCCCGTCAGCTCACGAGTCGGTATTCCACTCGTCCGGTTCGTGTTGGTATTCAAGATATTGGTGCTTTTTCCATCGATTATATATGCACACACAGTCATATACAACATTCGGACATCCGCGAGTGCACTCGTATCCCACGGATAGTCGCCTAACGATAATTCCAGTGCAAGCATTTGGCTGAAGACCTGAAGTTGCTTGCGGCAGCTCACTGCTCACCTGCACAACTGTAAACGGTTTGAGATCTTGAATAACGCTTTCTTCTACTTCCACTCATGATTTTCTCTGCTCGTGTAAAATATCAGTCTACATGGGTTTAATATCGGTCAAAAAAAACTTTTAAGATGACTATGCTACAAACTTTCTAGTAGTATATGGATGAAATCCTTTTGGGCCGAATTTGGCACCGCGGGCTTAAGTGGGCTTCATGCGTATGGTTGCCTTGGCCCGTGCGTGAAGTCACGATCTCGTCCTGCACACCATACCCTAGTTCTTCCTTCTCGAACCCTCGCGTCGCCGACTCGCCGCCTAGCATTTTTCCTACACGGCTACACCCAACCTGATCTGACCAAGCCCTAACACCACCACCCATCCGCCGCCGCCGCCGCCCAAGATGGGCTTCGACGTGGGCTTCGTCCCCTACAACCCCGACGGGTGGGGTCCACCGGAGGCCGCCGCCGCGCCGCTCTCCCTCGGCGGTGGCTCCTCGTCTGTCCCCTTCGCCCCCTTCTCCCGCTCCGACAAGCTGGGCCGCATCGCCGACTGGACCCGCAACCCGCCGGGCCCCGCGGCGTTTGCCGCCGCTCGGGACGCCGTCTTCGACTTCGCGGGGCTCGATGACTCCATCGGGCTCGCGTCCGCGGACGACTCGTCCTTCCGCCTCGTCGACGGCAAGCCGCCGCCGCGGCACCCGCGGTTCGGCCCCCGCTGGCGCTTCCAGCAGCGGCCCCAGCTCCCGCAGCGCCGCGACGAGGAGGTCGAGGCTCGGCGTCGCGAGGCCGAGAAGGAGCGCGCCCGACGCGACCGCCACTGGCAGCAGAACCGCCGCACGCACCAGTGGCACCACCAGTTCAACCGCGGCGGGCCCTCCTCCTCGTCCGCCAAGCCGTCCGTTGACATCCAGCCCGAGTGGTCGGTGAAGGAGCAGATCCCTTTCTCCTCCTTCTCCAAGCTCTCGTTCGCCGTCGCCGACCAGCCCGAGGATCTCCTCGTCTGTGGCGCAGTCGAGTTCTACGACCGGACCTATGACCGCGTCACTCCCAGGTCGGAGCGTCGCCTCGAGCGCTTCAAGTCGCGGAACTTCTTCAAGGTCACCACCACTGACGACCCCGTCATCCGCCGCCTTGCCGAGAATGACACGGCCACGGTCTTCGCCACTGACACCATCCTGGCCGCACTCATGTGTGCGCCCCGTAGCGTCCAGTCCTGGGACATCGTCATTCAGCGTGTTGGCAACAAGTTGTTCTTTGACAAGCGCGATGGCTCTCAGCTTGATCTTCTCACCGTCAATGAAACCGCCCAGGAGCCACTCCCTGAGGCCAAGGAAGACATCAACTCCGCACATTCACTGGCAGTTGAGGCCACATACGTCAATCAGAACTTCTCACAGCAGGTGCTGCTCCGCAATGGTGAGAAGGTCACTTTCGATGAGCCTAACCCGTTTGCCACTGAAGGGGAGGAAGCTGCTTCCGTTGCTTATCGCTACCGCCGCTGGAAGCTTGATGATGAGACAAGCTTGGTTGCCCGCTGCGAGGTTCATGCTGTGAATATTGATCCACGCGGTGAGCGCCAGTTCCTTACACTCAACGCCCTTAATGAGTTTGATCCCAAGGTCACTGGTGTTGACTGGAGGAAGAAGCTTGAGACCCAGCGGGGAGCTGTGCTTGCCACTGAGCTCAAGAACAATGCCAACAAGCTTGCACGCTGGACTGCCCAGGCACTACTCGCCGGTGCTGACATGATGAAGTTGGGTTATGTGTCGCGGCTGCACCCCCGCGATCACTACAACCATTCCATTCTCAGTGTGATTGGGTACAAGCCAAGGGATTTCGCTGCACAGATCAATCTCAACACTGCGAATATGTGGGGGATTGTGAAGTCTATTGTTGATGTATGCATGAAGCTTGGAGAGGGAAAGTATGTGCTTGTGAAGGACCCAGTGAAGCCGCAGGTCCGGCTTTATGAAGTGCCAAATGACGCATTTGAGAATGACTATGTTGAGGAACCACTTCCTGAGGAGGAGCAAGTGCGTCCCTTCTCCGAGGATGTCGACGCTACCGCGCAGGAAATGGATGCCGCTGCAGAAGCGGAGGCTACTGGAACAACTGCAGGCCCAGAGGGAGATGCTGAGAAGAGCACTGACGTTGCTGCTGTGTGAAGGAAGTGGCTACAACCTACAGAGGTCTCTTCGGACCTTGAATAAGGTTACCTTAGCTAGCTATCTACAGTCATGGGCTTCTTGACAGAGGTTTGATGTTTCTACCATCAAAGGTTATGCTATTGTCTTTTGGTGAACCTTGAGTTGTTTCTCGTTATTAACACATGCGCCTGTCTCGACTTAATGCAATCCCCAGATTATATTTCCCTCCAAGGCTCACATGTTACCATGTGGATTGTCGGTTCTGTTCACTATGATTTTAGTTTTGGTGATTGCATTTGCATTTACTTGGCCATATGCGAACACGTACTTATGTTTGTTGGTAGCTTTAACGTGTTGGATGAATACATGATGCTATGTGAGTGTGAGTATTGTTGCTTGTGCAATCCATTTTTTCAAATATCGCCAATATGCACGGCTTCTCGGGGCATAGGATGTTGATAACTTCGTGCCTTCCCCCCCTGGGGCTTCCGATTGGTTGGTTGCTGAAACCCAATGCATTGGTTACCTGATCGTGTGTTGTTCATTGGACTTGAATTAGCGTGCAGGAAACATTGTTACGTAGGCTGATGACCCAGAGCAGGCAGCCATTTTCCTTGTACGGAGTTTGGAAGAGCTGTAGTCGAAGAGGTTGGAGGTGAAGAAGGGCTGGGACGGAAATGACGAGTAGAACTCAGCCGTGATGTTTATTTTCCTGTACTGGTGCATCTATATGGTCGTCGATGTTTAATTTTTCCTGTACTGGTGCTTTGGTTTCAAGAAATGACGCCACCGTGAAAGGCGGATGAGGATTGAGGAAGTGCTTTGGACCCAATTCTTGCACATCGAAGAAGTGGCGTGGTTCCAGGCAAGTTGCGTCGCGGAACACACCTCGGAAGGTAGCCGCGAGAGGAAACCAATCACACAAGGCGGGCGCGCACTCTCGTCTCGCTGACAAAGGAACTCTTTTCGCCGGTGCGTGCGCGCGCCTCTTTCCCTTTTCGATTGGCAGACAAAGGGTCCACGTCGCCTCGCACCAAGGTCCAAGGACACGCTCCATTACTAGGCGATTAGCCGATTAGTATACATATGGCTACGTGGCGTGCATATCCAAATCCGCTCTCTGCTATTGGGCCGGGCGCATTATTGCCCGTGTCGATCATTGAGTGAGGCGACGCGCAGAGAGCCAGAGACGGCTGCTTGGATCGCCACGACGTATCTTTATTTCAGACACAAATCGGGGTTGGCGTGATCGGTCATATGCATGGCTTCCCTGCGCCGAGCTGCTGGTTTTCCAGCGCGTTACTGTCAGTTAGATTGCAGCGACGACAGGTGGTAATGGTACGGGAGCCTCTAGTACAGCGCATTGCCTTCTCACAATCACATCGTTCATGTTAATTTCTAGCTGCTTCCGGGTATGTATGTAACCATCATACGAACCATGTGCGTCGAATGGGACGAGTAATCATGCAAATCATAAATCATGGATTGGTGGATGTTCATGAATCGTGAATGAAGAAATGGGCGGATGTTCCCAAGCTACACCCTACTATTATAGGAGAGAGAATGTCATGACACTAGCGAAACATATTTCTGCAGCAGGAGGATAGGTGAATCTGTGAAGGTAGGAGAGTAGGTACAACTTGTTCCCTGTTCCTAAAAACGTCTGTGTTCTGTACTGATGAAAAAAAGGCTAACAACAAGAAGCAGTGCCCTGTTCGCTTAAGTCATGGCTTAAAGCACTGTTAGTTGATTAGTTGATTTGTTGTGAGAAAAAAATACTATTGGTTAGGCTAAAAAGTCAGAAAAAGTTTCAGCATAATTGAGGTCTCAGTGGAATCATGAACAATGGAAATGGAGTCGTCGTAAATGCTGCCAGCTGAGGCCAGAAACAGGGCAGGTAGCTACTACCGTACGTAGAATATCTCTCTGTCAGAAAACCTGGCGGGGGACTTGCTCACTTCACTTGCAGTTGCAGCTTGCAGGTACTGGGACAAAATAGGCGGGTCTGCAGGAAAGGGGAGGGAGAAAAGCCAGGACAGAAGCGGTGCAGGTCCACACAGGCATGGCATCAAAGGGAGAAAGGCAACGTGACGATGGTAGGGAGCACA